ATATGATTGAGTTCGTGTAGTTCATTGAACAAATTGTTTTAGTATTTAAATATCTGTACGTTTTAGAACTGTTAGCTTCTAATAGTCTGATACGGGGAATAAAAAAACGATCAGTGTGAAAAAAAATTGTTTGAATTAAATGTACGATGTAGGAACTTGTTGAAAATGAATTTCATATTTACCAACCTAATGATGACACGTCGAGATGATTACGAGGTGAGACAACTCGCGTCCTGCGCTCGGTGTTCCTCTTCCATTCCCTCAATGGAACCAATCCGCGAATTTTCGTCGACGGTGTGTAAAAAAATATCTTTCTCTCTTACTCTCACTTTCAACATTCTCACGGCGATAGTTTACGATGAGAATAATATTATTAATAATAATAATAATATTAATATTAATAATAATAATAATAATAGAAGAAAGATGAATGAGGAAACCATGGTGCTCTGCATAATCTATTTTTTACGAGAATAAAACGTTCCATTAATAACGTAGACTATACTTACCGTATAATTGAGTATTTAATAGTGTCCCTCCGTCTGTGTACATACTCTTTACAAGCATAAATAATAATACTTGTTAGTTTTTAATGTGATGTGAGGAGTGTCCGTTTGATGGAACGAACAGTTTACATGCTGCATACACATTCATACGCGTGTCACACAAACACACACACATACATACACACACACACACACACACGTAAGCGACGACGCTAGGTCGTTTGTGTTAGTCTGACAATATTATCGCATATTTCGAATGTATTACGAAATCATTACGATAACTACCTTCCCCAAACTCGCTTGCAATAAATATTACGTTGGAAATTAATTGATATCGTTTATTTTGTTGCACCTTTTAACTACCCGATTTTGTATGCTGGATATGTTTATTGGCATGAACGAATGAAAATAAGAAATGAAAGTTGAGCTACAAATTTTGGATTTCGCCAGGAGATGTTAGGTCCATACAATGGCTGCACGTGGCATTATTAAGGGCAAGAGTTTATTCCACTTCTTCTATCGTCGGGCCATCAGGAATTCTTGCACCGGCACTGCCATAAAACTTCGTAATGATCGGCTTGCAAATCTGAAAAATTTGACAGTACATTCTTTTACGAGCAAACAAGCACTTACGTTGAAACAAGAAAGGAACAAGATAATAAATCATACTTTTTCAGCATCTTTCAGCTTGCGCTCGAACTCGTCCTTAGTGGCAGTGGTGTTGGTATCCAGCCATTTGATAATCTCGTTGCACTTGTCCGAGATGCGTTTCCGGTCGCCATCCGCGATTTTCCCTTTAACCTTGTCGTCGTCTACCGTGTTCTTCATGTTGAAGCAATACGACTCAAGATTGTTCTTTGCCGCGATCCTGTCTTTTTGCGTTTGGTCTTCCTGTTGGTACCTCTCAGCCTCGTTCACCATCCGTTCGATATCCTCTTTACTGAGTCGCCCCTTATCATTAGTTATCGTTATCTTATTCTCCTTGTTCGTCGACTTCTCTATAGCTGACACATTCAGTATTCCATTCGCATCAATATCAAAAGTCACCTGAAAAAAGAAATACAAAAATTACATTTTATCTTTAATTTCTAAAAAAATTTATATTCCCTCCGAAAATTGTAAAAATTTACTTCTATCTGAGGCATGCCTCGAGGTGCCGGCGGGATTCCGGAAAGCTCGAACTTGCCCAACAGATTGTTGTCCGCGGTCATGACTCTCTCGCCCTCGTAAACCTGGACCAAAACGCTCGGCTGATTGTCTGAGTAAGTAGTAAACGTCTGCGTTTGTTTGGTGGGAATTGTGGTGTTCCGTTTGATGAGGGTAGTCATCACGCCACCGGCAGTCTCTATCCCCAGGGACAGCGGGGTCACGTCAAGAAGCAGTAGATCTTGAACCATATCGGAACCTTGCAAAATAGCCGCTTGCACAGACGCTCCGTACGCCACAGCTTCGTCCACATTTATAGATTTGTTTAATTCCTTCCC